TAATCATTAATTTTTAAGACTTTATTTTCAAAAGGTTTAACACCCAATTTGGTCCCTAAACTTTCATTTCGAAACTTAACTCATCCTTTAACTTTAAAAAGCACCCAAACCATCCTTAAACTTTTTTTTTTAGAACCCAAATGGTCTTTCCGTCACGAAAGTGCCCAGTTGGCACGTCAACCTGCCACGAATTAATACTTTTATTTCATAAAAATTACATGGAAAAAAATGATGATTTGGTAATTTTAATAAATTTAATAAAAAAAATATACCATTAGAATATTAGCCCTCCCTTATCTTCAACCCCCATCCCTCTCTAACATTTTTGTTTCTTTTCCCTATTCTCCAGCATCAACATCAACACCAATCCAGCGGCATCATTCTTTCCCTTTCTCATTTTTCTCTCTACTCTCCACCCTCCTCTTTCCTCTTTCCTCATTTCTCTTTTCTTTCCCTTTTTTTTTTCTTTTTTCTTTTCTTTTCTAGTTGGGGTTTAGAACCCATGTTGGGATTGGGGATTCAACCTAGATCAACTCATTGTAAAGGAACAACAATAGCTAAAACTGGCTAAGATCTCAGTCGATAGAAGTGCCGATTCGACTCCATTTTCATTGCATTAGCTCCACACAACTTCATACAAAAATGCAGCAAAAATATTGAGAAATTAAGCCAACCTAGGGCATACTACTAATAAGTTCGTTTTCCTTTCTAGCTCCATAGTTTCTTGGCAACCAAACACAAATTTCTATCACAATCCTCAAGTAAAAAACAAAATCTACTTTTCTATCAAAGGATTTAAGTATATAAAGCTACAAAAAAATTGCTCACCGGTGCCAAGTTGAAAGACAGCGAGTCTTCAAGAAGGACTGTTACTGTTGGAGGCACTGGTATCGTCGCCATTGATGAGAACAGAAGAGAAGTTCAGAGACGGCGATCGCATTGAAGGTCTGCAAACTGAAAGACAACATGTCAAAGAAGAAGACGATGCAACTGGGAGTGTTGTTCTCAGCATTTTCTCTTTTCTTCATCCCAATCCCAATATGGGTTCTAAACCCCAACTAGAAAAGAAAAGAAAAAAAAAAAAGGGGAAAGAAAAGGGAAATGAGGAAGGAGGAAAGAGGAGGGTGGAGAGTAGAGAGAAAAATGAGAAAGGGAAAG